ACATTTTACAGAAGCAGTATTGTTTGCAACACAGACAACACTGATTCAGGTCTTTAAAACACAGCCAGTACTCACACACCTGTCTCTAACTGGCTGACCGCAGGCAAGCACACATGAGCCACAAGACCCCCAAAATTGTGAGTAGCCGCAGGGACAGGCTTCTTGGACCCTGTTGTACACTGGGTACGTGGCTCTTGGGGAGAGCCAGCACTGTGGGGGGGGCTGATAATCATTCCTGTCCCCACAGTTTCCTCAGAAGGTGATCATTATGGAATATATCTCACCGTTGAGGGTGAGCAGGGAATCAGGGGAGGGTTTTCTCCAAGCCTGCGGCTTCCGCCCTGGCCCCTATGCAGCTTGCCTGTGTGCAGCAATGCCCCTCTTCCCATGACAGCAAAGTGGCGCGGGAAAGTTACCATTAATGGGCCAAGAAACAAACCAGCTCTGCCGAGGAACCTGCAGCAGCGGATTGCCCAGTATCTCCACGAGAGTTTTGTGGAGATCTGAGGCAGATTCCCGAGAAGTGAGGGAATCAATCAACAGCCTGTTCCACCACTCAGACTAGGCAAGTGGTGGGAGACAAGCCTGCTTTCTGCAACCCTCCTTCCCCCAGCAACTCGCTTCAGCAATTCCCAAAATCAAATCCACTTACCAGGGACCTCCTCTCCTGTTTGTGCTTCGCCAAGATCTGACTGCTATGACTGGCTAGGTTCCTCCGGGGTAGAAAAGAGCTCCGGGCTGCATGCATCTCTGGCCTCTGAGTCATTCTCTGCCTCTGGGTTCCCCTCCCCCTCTTTGTCCAAGATTTCCTCCTCCTGGCTCAGTCCACTCTCAACTGGCATGCGAGCCAACGAAGTATCCACAGGTGCCTGTGGGGTCATCACCGAGTATTGCATCCAGTTTTTTGTAGAACTGGCAGCTCATGGGCACAGCACTGGAGCAGCGGTTTGCCTCCTGCACCTTGGGGTAGGCGTTCCGCAGTTCCTTCACTTTTACCCTACACTGCAATGTGTCCTGGTCATGGCCCCTTCCTGTCATGCATCGTGAAATCTGTCCGTTGGTATCATAATTCCTACGGCTGGAACGTAGCTGGGACTGGACAGCCTCCTCTCCCCAAATGCTGATGAGGTCCAGCAACTCAGCACTGCTCAAAGCGGGGGATTGCCTGGTGTGTGGGGCAGGCATGGCCACCTGGAAAGATGCACGGAGACCATTGTACGCATCACTGAGCAAACAGGAAGGGGACTTTCAAATTTGCAAAGGAATGTATGGGGTGGGGATGATGGTTGGTCACGTGAGGGCAGGGCAGTAGAGTTCAAACCGATGACCAGAGAGGTGAGTACAGGCATTGTGGGACACCTCCCGGAGGCCAATTGCAGCGCTGTAATTGCCATGGTGTCTACACTGGCACCACAGTGCTGTAGCCCTGGCGCAGAAAGCTCTATGTCTCTCATCAGGGTAGTTTTTTTTTTAAGAGTGCTACAACGGCAGTTTCTGCGCACTAAGTGGCTTGGCAGTGTGTACACCTCAGGAGTTACTGTGCAGAAACTTGCCAGTGTAGACCGTGCAAATCACAGTACATCTACGCAGGGATTTGCACCAACATAACTATGTCAATGTAGTGGTGCAAAAACCCTTAAGGTAGGCAGGTCCTCAAAACTGATTCCGCCTCAAGGAATAAGTAAATTGTGAGTGATTGGGATGTGCAAGAACATTCAGGATGTGCTGTGCCATTCAGTGGATAGCATTACCCAGCAGGAGATTATTACAGAAAGTATCTTCAAAGCAGGCTAAAATATGACCTTCCAATAAGAAAGCCCTAGGGGACAGAAGTGCAGGACTGTAAATAAGATTAAAGGTAAAATGTTCAAGAGTGCCTAAAGATCCTTAATCCCAAGTGATTTTCTATGAGATTTAGGCTCCTAGATGCCTAAACCACTTTTAAAAATAGGACTGAGACACATTAGCAACTCCAAACAGGTTGCAAAGTGGCCAAGACAATGAAGGACAGTCCTCGTTAGGCACAGAGTGAAGTTCAACACCAGAGCAAGGAAATGCTACAGAGCAAGAAGTCTTCCAAAATGAAGGTCTCACTCCCTCCCTGTCCAGGCACAGACAAGTGGATGAACTTCAGTGAAAAATGTCTGAATGCGTCCAATTTTATTAAGAATACATAGTCTCTAAAGGTACTTACATAGGTTATCCCTGATGCTCTCAGGAAAAGGATCAGATGTCCTTGAGGTAAGGGTAAATACAACTCCCCTTTTGAGGGAGGGTGGCTATAATTAACACTAAGCTTTTGGTGAAGTGCTGAGGCCAAGTTGGAGGGGTGGGAGGAGAAGGGGAAAAAAAAAAAAAAAAAAATCAGAATCTGAAATGGACATACCCCAAAAAGGCAAAATGTAGGTAACGCTAGCCAGTAGGAAAAACAAAGAGGCTGAAGATGTCAGTGAACTTATGGATTTTGAAGTATCTGGCCTAGACATTTGAAATTAAGTATGTACCATTAGTCTGCTTTGTGTAAAGTCAACTTCAAAAACACTCAACCAACTACTACTTCTAGTGTGGAACTACCCAACCCAAAATGTTTTGCAGGACCCTGAAAGGCATTTTGGGAGCTTGGGTTTCTCACTTTAGAGCAGCCAGTGATAGTGAGATAGCTAGCTCTTACCTATGTCAAAGTGTGGATTCAAAAGCTCCTGCAGCCCCTCCTCCATTTTAATGGAGAATCCCAGGCCCAGTTGTGCTGTGCATGTCACTGCATTGATGCCTCTACTTCTGTTGTAGCTCACTGTGAATTTGTAGTGTTTCAAATTCCAGAGCTCAACAACAAAATTGTTGTGATAACAGCTGACACTAACAGGACAGGTGACAAAGCTACTTAATTTAATTTTTGTGGTGAAGTTAAGGTAGAGTGAAAAATCTAGTACTCCCTCTAAATGTTCTCCATCATAACAGACAGGAATTGTTTATCAGCCCTGTATCTAGAGGCCTAAATATTTCTGCACTCCACAGCTCCTCCAAAATAAACTGCATTCAGGGGACAGAAAATGAAGTACAGGAGAGGATGTAGAAGACAAAAGAAAGTGGTTAAGAAATAAAATGGCAGATGGAAGTATATTAGAGACAGTGGGGAGGGGAGAGAGCGCGGGGGAAGAGGGAAGAGGCAGCTTTAAAGAATTAATACAATCACACCAACATTAAACTGGCAATTTTCAGCTTTGGTAGACTGACCTACGTGGTCTTCCAACTCCCACAATTAGAATTCAAATGCCCATGTGAGTCTGTATTTTAATAGATGTCATCAAGGCAAACTCCTATTTTCTAATTCTCCCATTCCCAAGCATAAAGCTCTCCTTGTTTCACCAGAGCCTGGATTTGGTGACCTCCAGAACATCCTGGAAGACCTGTTTTTCCCCAGGCATCTCCAAAGGAAAATGGTTGGGAAGATATTGTAGATGATCTCTATTCTTTTTATGATCTATGGGTCTAATTTGAGTGTTCTGTATTACTATTTTATGGAAGCTTAATATTATAGAAGTATTGGCAGCAACTCACAGCTAGAACTGGAATCTGAAACAGGTTTGAAATAGGGCATTAAGTAAATAGTTTCTCTTTTCATAAATTTAATGAGTGTCTGAAATTGGTCTGACTGAAACTTGTCTGCGATAGACTACTATCTACACAAGTTAGTAAAAAGGGAAAGTATATTAGAGAAAATGAAAATATCTGGTAAAACAGGTAGATTGGATGAGAATTTTTAAAACTACAATTTTTTTATTTTACTAACTATTCTCATAACTGAAAGATTATCTTTCAGCAGAGGCTAGAGCAGGAGTCGGCAACCTTTCAGAAGTGGTGTGCCGAGTCTTCATTTATTCACTCTAATTTAAGGTTTCACGTGCCAGTAATACATTTTAACCTTTTTAGAAGGTCTCTTCCTATAAGTCTATAATATAGAACTAAACTATTGTTGTATGTAAAGTAAATAAGGTTTTTAAAATGTTTAAGAAGCTTTATTTAAAATTAAATTAAAATGCAGAGCCCCCCGGATCGGCGGCCAGGACCCAGGCAGTGTGAGTGCCACTGAAAATCGGCACGCGTGCCATAGGTTGCCTACCCCTGGGCTAGAGAATAATCCTTTCAAGACAATTCTTCTTTCAGAGAAGAATCAAAGAATGGCACTTCCAAAATGGCCACTATCTCCCATTTTCTCCATGGAACTGAGGCCACAGGCTACCCTTAGTTAAGAGTATGACCATTTCCCTTCAATCTGTGCAGGAGGCTCAGGCTCCCCCTAGCAAAGAAAGGCCAAAGGGAGTGAAATCAAGTTTCCCTCAGGGAAGTTGACAACTGCTTATGCTTTCAAGAGACAGCATGAGGAGCAGGTTAGCGTGAGGAGCAGGCGAATGAGTGGGGGACAAGATGGGAAACTGGGGGTGTGCACGTGCAAAGACTGTGGAGGGCAGAAAGGGAAACATGGACATACATGCAGGGTGGATCTGGAGACAGTCCACTGAATACAGACAACTGAGAGCATGGTAGGAATGGGAGAGTGTGGTAGGGGAAAGGATGAAACAAGAGGAAAGATGCCAGCATAACCATTGTAGCTGTTAGGGGAACCCCCTCCAGGCAGCCAATAGAAGGTCTCATAATTTGTTTAATTTAAAATTAAACCTGAAATATGTGATGATCACATGCTGGATCTGGCATCTTTCTTCAGTCTGCTCAAAGTGATTTTCATCCATGTAGGGAACACCATGCCTCCACAATAATAATCCTTCCTGCACAATACTCAGCCCTTGTTTACCAAGTCAGAAGAGAAGTCAAAATCAGGTCTCTCTCTAAAAGGGAAACTGCAAACATTAGACACCAATCTACTGGGACAACTTCCAGTGAAGTATTTTGATCAACTGAAGACTAACTCAAAGCTCAATAACACTACTTCATATTATGTACCACAGTTTAAATAAATAAATAAATAAATCAGAGTATCAATATAAAGGAAGAATATAAAACTATTTTATTGACCACTGTTCACCAGTATTTACAATAAAGTAAACAATATACAGTATGATAACATTCAATTTACTACAAAGTTAGTTCTTACCTGGCCTCTTTGGGACTACATTACCTCAAATACTAAAAAGAATGGTTCTACATGTTATGGGGCTAGGTTGGGGTAAAGAAGATACATGCACATCAATAGCATAGAAGACTATAAAACATCTGTGAGTTTGTTTAAACATTTGTTATGATTCAGTAATAACTATGGAGGATCATGAAGGTTTATAAAAGCCTTTACCTAATATGGAGGAAATAGTATCAAATGCTGTCCTGTCATTAATGAAGCAAGTTGCAGAAAGCCTTTATTTACTTGCTGTTGATGCAAAACACACTACTTCAAAAAACAAACATATCAAACTCAATTCTCATTAGAATGTAGAGGTTTTCCTCACATTGCTAATAAATCAAAGAATAAAATCAAAATCCAGGTTTTCATATTCATATATATATAAAAAAAGCAATGCAAATGATTATTGTGCTTCATCTTCCGGACACGAATGCCAAGTTAGTCGCTCTTCATAAAAAGCAATTACAATCTGAGGACATTTCATGTTAGCTTCTTTGGCCAGCACCAAGTCTGCCTCATCCGAGTCTTTCCTAAGAGGGGAGGGTTTAAAAAACAAACAAGTCTTGAGTTTAAGAGCTATTACTAAACCAGATGGGTTTGAAATTGATATTAGAATATATTTCATGATCAAAGAGCGGAGGTAGAAGTTTAAATTTTAGAAAAATCTATTGTTGTTAATCACCATTAGCAACTTTCCAGAGGTCATCACTTGGAGAAGGTCCTCTTAAAAGGACATCAATTAAAGATCACAATTTCTAGTTAACAGCAGTTTCAATATAGCAGTCCCCAGTTTTCCCTGCCAATTTGTGTTTTACAGTCATATTTTTCCTCAATTAAAAAAAATGTTTCTCTTTCCTGTTTGAGAAATCCACACAGACAAAAAGGGAAACCCTGCACAAAGAAAACACTGACTACACAGTAACATAAAGGATAACCTGTCTAGTATTACATATTGCTTCTAATCTCATGTAAAACTTTTCAGACAGGTGTCACAGACAGTTAATTGACAGTGTCACTCTGGGTAAATCTGACACTCACAAACTATTACATCCAATTAGAATAAATGCATTAAAAAAGTTATCAGATTGCAACTTCTGAACCTGTGTCAGAGTGAAAGAAAATGCAAGACAGTTGATACCCCTGTATTTTAATTTTTTTTTACTGATTTCACATGCCTGCTGCACACCTGCATATTAGAAGTAGACTTGTTGCATATAACAAAGTATAAGCTAGCCACAAAGACAGGAAATAAGAAAGAACAAGTTCTCTCATTTTTGTTGTATTTTTCTCTGGTGTTTCATTTCTTCATTTAATAACGCTACAGAAATTCCGAATTGCAACAACCTGCATTTTATATACATCCCAAACGTCACATATCCACTACCTGAGGTTTTTAAGAGGATGAGTAACAGAGTCTTCTAAAGTGCAAATCTTTAAGTGTCTCAATATGGCAAACAAGTGAGATTGATATTTTTGGGGCAACTCAGTTGGACTTCATTGGGAGCAAAATTAGACATTTAAATAAAGGGATGGAAGCGACTATTGCACTGTCCACACACCTGTGCTCAAAAGCATGAATTCAGTCTCATTAGTTTGACCAATGAATATTAGAAATGAGATTCCAATCTTACTCTACTTACTGTTTGCTCAGGACAGGTATTCCCAAACACAGAAACAAGTAAATTGTCATCTTTCCTGTCTCACTCCAAAAAGGAAATGTTTAAACTGGTGAGAAACTACTTTGGATCAGAGATGTCTGTACATCACTTACCATTTCATGAGAAACATAAGTTCTCCGCTGCTATCTGTGGCTCCAATTATCCGCTCAGGATCAAGACCTCTTGCAAACCCCCTTGGTTTATCAACCTATTAAAAAGGTTGAACGTCACATCTAGTTTAACATTAATTTTACATCATTTTAAGGCAAGTTTCAGACAAGTTATAGCTTACATCAAGTCAAGACTTATTTTGTCATTTTACGCTTTAGAACAGTGGTTCTTAACCTTTACTGCAGCCTGCACCCCTTTGGTTCTCAAAAATATGTTCTCGCACCCCTTATCAAAACTCGTTGAAGTCCCATATATACTCAATCATAAGCCGGTTCGTTTATAAGCCGACACATGCCCCCTCCGTTGGATAAGTAAAAATGGAAAAATGTTATGACCCATTCATAAGCCGACCCTATAACTCTGGGGTCAGCAAACTTTGGCTCCCGGGCCATCAGGATAAGCCGCTGGCGGGCCGAGATGGTTTGTTTACCTCGAGCGTCCGCAGGCAACGGAGGTAAACCTAAGTAAACAAAGTGTCCCGGCGTGCCAGCTGCTTACCCTGATGGGCCGGGACAGCAACTGGTGGGGAATTTTTTTTGAGGGGGGAGGGGGGGGGAGGAGAGAAGCTGAGGTCAGGGGACCCCAGGTTAAGAACCACTGCTTTAGAATGAATTAGTTAAATTTAGCAAAAAAGATGAATTTACATCATTAATATACACATTTATTTCAGGAAACTAGATAAGGCAGGAAGCATCTTTCTAGTGGAAGCTTAGTGTACAGGTCAGGGAACATCATAGCATCCTTTAGTTCACCTGTATGATTGTATCAGTGACATGCAAACTGCAGCCAATTTCCCGAGTTTAGGAGCCAGCAATAGCTCTGAGTTAGAAGTGATTTCTGCAGAGAAATTAAAACCCAAGCCTGCAAACAGTTACTTCCTCTTGAAAAATCACAGTGATGTCAATGGTACCATGCTGGAATAACTAAGAGTATGCAGTCATTGTTTACAGGACCATACCCTTAAGACTAAACAAAAAATCCCTCTTATAAGTAAGCTACAATTTAGTCACAGGTATTTTTATTAAAAGTCATGGACAGGTCACAGGCAATAAACAAGAAGTCACCACCCATGACCGATCCATGACTTCACTGCTCCCAGAGCAGCAGCTGTTGCGGTTCGCCTCAGGGCTGCCCCAGCTGCTCGGGCAGCCATAAGGTCAGCCGCACTGGCTGCTGCAGAAGACACGGAGGTCCCAGAAAGTCACAGAATCCGTGACTTCCAAGACCTCCATGAAAGACTCGCAGCCTTATTTATAAGATCTACAATGTAGACAGTTCTACCAACTTAAGTGTCTCATGTCAAATAATTTTTTTTTATAACTAACAGCCACTGTGTACTTTTGTGCATCAGTAATAAAAGGTAAAGAACAGCTCTAGGTAGAGATGACCAGTTGCCATTTAAGACCATCCAAAGGGAGAAAAAGGTAATGGTGACTTTTCCCCTACCCCTATTTTCAGATGCAGGCATGGAAGGATTTTACCCATGAGACAATTACTTTGAAGTTAAGTCATTTAAGGCCTAAACTAATCAACAGCATCCCTTTAAAGTACTGTACATTTAGAAGATGTGAGAACAGATCCAGATACAGGAGTTGATTTTTTTGACTTTCAAGAGTTATCAACTTTTACTGTTTTAGTTCATAGGAAAATAGGAATTGCCATACTAGGTCAGATCCAAGGTCCATCTAGTCCAGTATGCTGTCGGACAATGGCCAATACCCGATGCTTCAGAGGAAGGTGTAAAATCCCCACAGTAGGCAGACATGGGATAATATGCCCCCAGAGGTCTCATCCTGATCTCTAATTGCTAAGATTTAAAAAAGGGGTTGGACATGGGTATCAGGAATATCCAGAGTAATGACAAATTTTGTAAGGGACACTAAAGTTTCAGGACCTAAGTTAATATCTTAAGTATTTGGCCTCAGTGACTTCCTATTGTAATGAATTCCACAGTTTAATTATCCATTGGGTGAAAAGTATTTCCTTTTACTGTTTTTGAATTTCCCACCTTTTAAATTTCATTGAATGTCCCTTTGTCATTGTGTTATGAGACAGGGAAACAGGAGTTCCCAATCTACCTTCTCTATACCATTACATAATGTGTATACTTTTATCATGTTCCCTTTTAGTTGTCTCCTTTCTAAAGAAAATAATCCCAATCTTTCAATTTCTCTTCACATGAGTTTATCTATGCCTTTGATTGGTCTTACTGCTCTTCTCTGATCCCCCCCCCCCCCCAGTTGTACAATATCCTTTTTGCAATGGGGTGATCAATACTATATACAGTATTCCATATGAGGCTATACACTAATTTATATAAAGGAATTATAATATTTGTATTATTCACCATCCTATCTCCTATGCCAGTGGTTTTCAAACTTTTTTTTCTGGCGACGCAGTTGAAGAAAATTGTTGATGCCCACAACCCAATGGAGCTGGGGATGAGAGGTTGGGAGTGTGGGAGGGGCTTATGGCTGAAGCAGAGGGTTGGGGTGAGGGCTGAAGGGGTTGGGGTTCAGGAGGGTACTCTAGGTTTGGGGGGGCTCAGGGCTGGGGCAGGGCTCTAGGTAAACGCTCTGGGGTGGGGCTGAGGGGTTTGCGGTGTAGGAGGGGGCTCAGGGCTGGGGCAGGGGATTGGGGCACAGGCTAACCTCTGTCAACTCCCAGTCAGCGTCACAGCCGGGGTGCAGAGACAGGTCATGACCCGCAGTTTGAAAATCACTGCCCGATGCATCCTAACTTTTTTTTTTTTTTTTAGATAAATACCACAGCTGATCAAAATTTCTTCAGTGAGCTGTCTACAATGACACCCAGGTCCCTTGCTTGAATGAATAGTTACTTTAGAATCCTGCAAGACATTCAAGTTTTTCCCCTCCAATATGCATTATTTTGCACTTGTCAACAATGAAATCATTCACCATCATGTTGCCTATTCATCTAGTTTGTTTAGGTCTTTCTGAAATTCTTCAGCCCCCTCTGGTCATGACTAACCTAAACATCTTTTTCATTTGCAAATGTTAGTAGCAACACTCACCCCCCCTTTCCAAATCATTAATATATTAAAACATTGGACCTAAGACAAAACCTTGAGGCACCATAACCCATGATGAAAATTGACAATTTAATCCTATTCTCTGCTTCATTATCTACTAGACCACTAAGTATATTCTCACCCAGGAATACTTAGCTTCTTTAGTGGAACCTTGTCAAAGGCCTTTTGGAAGTCTAAGGAAGAATTGATTGACTATATTTATTCACTACTTTGTCATGTTCAAATATATTAGTGAGACAACTTTCTTTTGCAGAAGCCAGGCTGGTTAGACCCTATCATATCATGAGCTTCCAGGTGTTTTGTTATTCTGTTTTGAAGTTATTGTTCTAAACCAATTTTCTAGATATAGATGTATGGCTTGTCTATAATTCCCTTCATCACCCCTAGAATTTTTTTAAATATAGGTACAAACATTCAACATAATAAAAAGCACTTGTGTAGCAACAACTTTAACATACTTACAGAATCCCTCTTTTTCTTTGATTTACTGTCATCAGATTCACTATCTGATAAAGATTTTCTTTTCCCACCATCTGTTTTTTCTTTACCAGCTTTCTGGGAGTTCAGAAAGGCTTCGATTAACTCTGGACAATCTAAGTTTTCTTCGGGCTCCCATGTGTTGTCAGCACTGAAACACACATACAGCTAGCTCATGAAAGACTATCAAAAGCCCAGAAACCTAATTTGGCCACATAGCTCACAGTAAGCAAAACATTAAGTAACACAGTAATTTGGCCACGTAGCTCACAGTAAGTAAAACAGGCTTCTTAAACCGGAGGTGAATCTACTTTATTTTCTTAAATTACCTTGCAATCATCAGATATGCACTTAGAGTTATGCTCTGTTCTGTTATTGCTGCAGAACTGCTGACAGAAGATACAGTACAGACATCCCTATCCACAACTTTTTTTTTTTAAACCCTACCCACCCACACTGTAGAAGCTGACTGGCCCTTGAAGATCTACTCCCTTCCTATTTAAAGACCTTCAAATACAGATAGGGAACCATATAAATAAACTGTCTGTGGGCATGAGGAAAAACTAACTAAGTCTGAAAACTATCCAAGTGTGCTTAGTTTTATTTGCTACTTAATGTCAAATCTTTTAACTGTGTCCCTACAAAAGGGATAAGTGCCTTCTCAGTCCATCATATGCACCAGTACCAAACACTGCATAAACAGGGAATCCCCAAGAAATATAATTGGGTATCTGGAGGCAAGTCCCGTAAACATCCAGACTAAACAAGTTACTGCTACATACATCTGAGCAGAATACGCACTTTAGGAGATAATACATGGGCAACCATAGTGTGACTATTTGGAGCAATATGCAATTATAACATAAATATGTTACTCCTGAGGGAATTCTGTGCTAAAAAATAAAAATTCTGTGCACATTTTAAAATTTTGCAAATTTGTATTAGTCAATAAATAAATGTGGAGGCTCCAGCATGGCAGTGGGGAGCACAGGCCACTGGCTGCACAGACGTATATAACCCTGCAGCACCCTTCTCCCCCCCCCCGGGACAGGGACTCAGCCATGAGGCTGCACTCAACCCTGACACACAAGGGCCAGGCCTGCCCCCAAAACACCCTGGGACCCTGCCCCTCTGCGCCAGGTGCAATAGGTGTGGGCAGGCAGGCTCAGCCCAGCAGGATCCAAGTGTAGAGGGGCTTAGTGTGGGGGGGATCCAGATGTGGGGTGAGAGGATTTTGTGTGGGGCAATCTGGGTGCAAGTAGCTCAGCAGAGGACTCAAGTGCAGGGGAGGGAGGGATCTGGATGCAGAGGCTCGTTGGGGAGTTCCAGGCAGAGGGGCAATGGGACTCTGCAGGATGGTCCAGGTGAAGGTCGCTGGGGCTCAGCAGGGGCAGTCCGGATGTGTGGGGATGGGGCCTGGCAGGTGGGGGCTGGGTGTGAGGTGCTCAGCAGGAATGGTTCGGGTGCAAGTTTAAAATATCAAGTCATTCTAAATGAAAGGCTATTCACTCTTAGGTATGGTCTACACTACGAACTTATGTTGGTATAACTATGTTGCTCAGGGTTGTGAAAAATCCACACCCCAAGCGATGCAGTTAAACTGACCTAACTCCCAGCATACGCAGTGCAAGGTTTTTCCCCCCCCATCAACCTAGCGACCATCTCTCTGTGAGGTGGTGTTTTTCCATCGGCATAGATAGTCTTCACTGAAGCAGTGCAGTTGCACCACTTCAGTGTCTGACATGTAGAAAAGCCTTTACTTCGACAGGCAATACAGTGGAAAGTATATAATGGATTTTAGGTGCTATCAGAAAAAAAATACATTTGGAATTCCTTACTCTGTAAATCCTTTCCATTTCAAGAAGTATTCAACCTTCCCATTCACTACACGTCTGTCCAGGACTTTCTCCACAACAAATTCTTCAGGCTCTGCTTCTTCAACTTTTTTACCTTTGCCATTCTGTTTCTTTCCCATTTTGTGCTATAAAAGAAGTTAAAAATTATATTTATAATAATATTTTATATTGCTTTATGTAGCTACTTCAATGGCCAAGCACAACCTTTACTTACTACATAGCAGAGAAATGGCAACTTATTCATACTGGGTCCAGGGCTCAAATTCCTATTAGGTTAGTGCAGGTAATCTGAGTGCCATTTTTTGTAAGTTGCTTAATAAAATACCCAACACCAAGAAACAGTCTTTTTTTAAAGGCAAAATGTTTTTGCCCATGCAATCAATGCCTCCTTTCCCTTAATTGTCATTCCACTCCTTCCTCTAGTGCCAAAGACTCAAAATTTACAAGAACTTCTAGAATAAATGTAACTGAACACCCACAAAAAAGGCAGTGTATTAGGAACAGCATAAAGGCATATACAAAAAAACAAAGCATTAAAGGAATTGTGGGGGAGGCGGACAAAACAGAAAGGGGATGATATTCTGGCTACTAAGAGAGAAAACTAAAGGCAATTAATTACTACTTTCCTCCCACTCCCTCCAAAAAAGTAAAAGTGTGGAGGGGAGAAGAGCTAAAGTCATACTGCTATACCAAGCTGGATGCCCAACAATAACTGATAACAGCTGCCAGCAGGATGTGTTACTTGTAACATTCCATAGCTGCCATTCTCCCACATTGGTGTATGGGTAAAGATGGAACTTTCACTCAAACAGATGTTACAGAGGTTCAAAAACCTAAGATAGCTACACTTAAAGAACAGCACTTAATGTATAAAATTTCTCTAATTAAAACTTTACAGAGATGTTGTATTTAAGTGTACATTAGATACATTGTTGTATAACATCCTTTAAATGCTTAAAATAAAATTAATTACATCCACATCATCCTCAAGGCATTCCAAGTTTAATAAGGCACAGTTAAATGCATTAGAAGGACAAGGTATTTTTCAAAATTTCCTTATTCATAATCCTAAAAGGCTTGAAACAAGTCTAGTACTGTCACATTGAGTGTTTGGAGCTCTATGGGTCTAAGTGGAGAGTTCTGGTTGCCATTTTGGATGTGCTCCTTATGGGAAAGCATTCAAAATGGCAGCAGGACTTTGAAACCCCCACAATGTACTGTAGTCCTATGGGAGCATTAAATAAAGTAGTGCTGTCACATTGCCCTTACCAAACTATTTTCCTACTGAGCACAGGCCTGCTATTATAACGTTTGTCATGAGTACTATCTGCAATTAACACTGACATTTTGAGAAAGCAATGAAGCATTTGTTTTGAAACTCTACATAAGTTTTAGATGAGTTTGGGAAAAGGTGGGTGTTCTGTTTTTTAAAGGGGATATCATCAAGTCTGTCAGGCTCAAAGTTAGTTCTTTCCACTTTCTGTAATTTAAGATTTTCAAGTTTTTTGTACTTCTTTTCAAAAACATACATAATCCTTGAGGATCCTTTTCCTAATTAGTCCTTCCCAAATGCCACCAACTTCAGACTCCTGGTTAGAAACCTACAAATTGAAGGTTCATACAGCAAAATACAAAAAAGGAAATAGGTTTCAAGATTTCTATTCTAAACAGTGAGCTTATACATATAAAGATACCAAATGTGGTGTTTGTTTGGGGGACAGGGTGATTTAAAGTAGCGCAAGCATTTACAATCTTATTTAAATCTTTATTTGTATGTCCCAGAGATATTTTGAGCAAAGCACCAATGTCTGAACAGTGCTAACTTAATCACAGGTATTTTTTGGCAGAGAGAGAGAGAGAGGGAGAGAGAGAATTCTAAAAGAGAACAAGGATGTAAGATAAAGACACAGATAAAGGAAATATATGAAGATGTCAAGCTATCCTCTGAAGGATATCCTCTGAAGCTATCCTCTGAAGCTTCCTTTAAAGGAAAGAAAAAGAAGGAGTGAAGGACAGAAGAGAGAAATAGGTAGAGATGGAAAAATAGCAAAAAATGAAGAACAAGTGACATAATGCTCATAGCACAATAGTAGCAACACTATAGTTATAGTTGATGAGTAAACATGTATTCAAATTAATATAACTTTCTGAAAGATTCTCCTTTGGGCTTTGACTCAGTACCACAGTGAATTATTTTGAGAAAGTGAAAAAAATAAATTATGAGAATAAGAGGGTGAATTAAGTACAAATGCTTTTTAGACTTCTAAGTCAATTAAAAAAAAACGTAAGTTTGGCATGTATAAAGCCTTCCATGGAAGAATATGAGCTTTGTTTAAAAAGCTTGCTTGAAAAACCATCAAGAACACTTGAAATTTATTGGACATTACTGATTTAAGCATGCCTCATATGTATACAGGACAGATGTTCAAACTTTTCTTCTTGCCCCTCACTACATTCTATTATGCATATTTGACTACATGGCCTGAAGAAGAATTGTGCATTCAGCTCAAATTTTGGATGCTCCGTGGATGTATGCTTCTACATGCACTTCACCCAACAGAAACACACAGTATTCGAAGCTGTTAATGGGAAGAAGAGTCACTAGACCCATCTGACCCCTTTTTCTGAGTCCCATATCGGAGAACACCATATCCTGGGCATTTTAATGTTGCATGTTCAAATAAAGTGTATTTCGCTTCTCTTTCCCACATTCAAAATTCACATAAGAAGTATGCACACACATATTATCTTCAGTGTATGATCACTCACCTTTTTAATTTTATACAAGTGAAAGATTATTACATTAATGTAGTATTATGGTAGATGGTTCAGATATACACAAGTCAGAAACATCAAAGTTACAGTTTCAAGAGAAACACTAACTGTCCTCTTCATACATTGGGAGAAGCATGGTTCCTATGGGAACCATTAACTGATTTTCCTGACCTGTGCAGTTAAGTTCCTAAAAAAATATTGACTGCATTAATAGGTTCTCTTCCCCTCCTCTGAGCATTTTGGGCCTGGTATTACCCTCACTTATGTTAGAGAGCTGGGGCACTAACGTCTAATGGAAGGTCTGAAACTTGATAAAGTGTTTGCAATGTTATTGCTTACACTGTTGGAGTCCAGTGAAAAATAATGAGGCAGCTAAGGGACAGGAGGTGATATTAGTATTTAATTTGTCAGGATATGGGATAAATTAGTACTTACTGACTAGTAATAAGTTTAATAGCAGGCTTTTTTTTAAGTAAATGTCACAAAAGCACAAAATTTCCCCTCCTTCCCCACATTTAGGCTATATAAAAATCTGTTTGCCTATTATTTTCCCACAAAGTAAACCTAGCACCAGGCTTCTGCACTTCTGTCCTTTACCAACACGTACTGCCATTAGTTAAATGAATATTAGAGCAACTACTGTGACATCCATTTGTCCTTAATTTCAAAGTTTTTTGGCTCATAATTTAATATCAAGAAGTTTCACAGTAACTTGATATCTGTCAAAGCCCTGTTGCAATGGTCCAGGTGGGGGAGACATTTAATAATCTCCGCTCCTATGAAATCCAAGCGAATTGTTATTTACTAGTAATAGTTCCAACAGCAATATTAACTATGCCCTGTCGCATCCTGTACTGTGCCTGCAGTTGCAATCATTTTTCCCTGAACGGCTAGGGAGAAGTTAAAATGAATATGTTTTTGCCCTTTTTAAATACACAATGAATTACATGGGGCGCTGAAAGGAGGCTAAAAAATTCAAAGTGTTTTCTGTTAAAGGTTATTAAACAATTTTCACTTTAAATCAGAGAGCTGAAATGGAGCATAGGCCTCCATTAAAAAGATAGTTTTTTTGTTTTGTTTGTAAGATAGCAGTTTTATTTAAGCCAAAGTTAATGTCCTTTCTATTAGCCTTACTTTCTGGATCTGAGAATTTAGTCAGAATAATGCTGGGGAGGAGAGATGTGGATGTATCTTCTACATGGAGATGCCAAGTTATAATTTTGAAGAAAAATACTTCGGTTAAATCCTTATATATTTTAGGTGCTCATGAACTTACCAATGTAGTTTTATTGGAGGCCATTTTTATTGCAGACTTGCAGAGCTTTTACTAGAAAAATGCATGACAATTAAAAGGAAGTTTACATTACTCAGAGAAAGGCATCCCAATACAATCATGGTCCTTGTTCCAACCCCAATGTGTTCACTGCACATAACATTTCAAGTGTGGATTAAATCCAGAGAAGTAGATTACTAGTTTCCTTGTCAACCCACAAACACACCATTAAGCTAGCCATCACTCTTGCTACTGATTGTGTATGAAGAGTTACAAGAATGTCCTTCCACCAGCATAAGGCAGAGATGTTTCAGAGAGATGGGGAGAACCATTAGGATGTATATTTCCTTAAACCCAATGGGAAAAGTGTTGATTCTAGCAGTTAACCAAAAGATATTTAAAAGCATTTTCAAGATGCAAAAGTTAGATTTTAATTAGCAACAGCTAAGTATCTGTAGTGTAATATAGTAGTAAGTTACCAGTAACCCTCACACAGCAGAAAATACATATAAACTGCAGATTATGTTAAAGCAACTGTAATGTTGCAAACAAGGATCAGAAGGCAAGAGTTAAGGCTAATACAGACATTAACTCTGCCAAATTGCACACATGGTATATTGAAGACTAAAATACTTAATTAAGAAATATACATTTCATTAACCTAAATAGATTATATAAACATATGATCTGGATGAAGCAAACTCATCCCCTTCCCCACACAGTTTCTCACACTAATCACCTCTGGGCACAGATTTCACCACCCACCCCTGCAAACTACAAAATGAGCAAGGCAAAGGGAAACCTTTATTAAAGGCCAGAAGAGGCCTTTGACTCAGCAATCCCGCCCAATTCTCATCCCCGGGCAGCCAGAGCGGTGGTATTGTAGCCAAGTCCGGGGGGAGGGTGGGGCAGAGGGCGAGGGTTGGGCCCTGCTGCTGGGCACCTCGTCTCGTCTCCATTGAGAGGAGATGAGGGGAGGGAAACAAAGGCCCGTGGTAGAGGGATGAAGGGTAAGGCTGCGCGACAGGCCTGTGGTGGGTGCACATAAAAGGCCTGGGTGTCCTAACGGGACTAGGCGAACACAGAGTAGGGCGAAGCCGCAGCCCAACATAGAGGAGGAAGCCCTGCGTCCCCTTCCCCTTGTGGGGGGTGGGAACAGCTGCGGCCACACGACAGCCAGCCCCGGCAAGTCATGTGCGTTGCCCAAAGCCGCCCTCCACCATTTCACACAGCCGCTCTAAGAAGAGAGCGACGGCCCCTTCCCAGCGCCACGTTGCCCCCTCGCCAAGCACGACCATTGCGCTCCAAGGCTAAGCCAGGCGGACCGCGGGAAAAAGCCTCCCCCCGTGCGGGTCGCTTCGCTTTGTCCAGTGAACGGTACGCGCCCACTGAGCCTCCGCGGTGGGTGCTGCCGCATCTCCCCAGGCTGCCCCCCAGCTCCAGTGTCTAACCACTCTCCTCCCCACTCTCCTCGCATTGCACCACGCTGAGGCCCAGGAACCTTCCGCCTACCTCGGGGGAGAGGCACCCACTAGAGATCCCGGGGCTCAGCTCCCCTTTCTCCCGCCCAACGCCGCCACTTCCCTTCAGCTGGGGTGGCTGCTAAAGGCGGGCAGCGGTGGCGGCGTTGGGGGGCGGGGGGGCCGGACCTCTGCAGTTACACCTAACACGAGCCCAGCTGCAAGGGATTTGGGGCGCTGCCCAATTCACGGCGAGGTTAAATTGGAAGCGAGAGAAAGAGAGAAGGATACAGACTTCAATGGTGCCCGGCGGCTCGGGTTTCCCGTCTCCTCCTTGCTCCCTGCGCGCACTGAGCAGCAGCGACATCTGAGGGGGGTGGGGGCAGAGGCTGGGGCGGCTACTGCGGGGTGTGAGCGCTGAGCTGCGCGCTAGCTGGCGGCGGGGCACAGCGCACAACGCCGCCTACACGCGAGCTGCAGCCTCCTGCCACTGCTGCTGCCGTGTCGCCAGTGCGGGAGCGAGAGGGGGGCCAGCCAGGGCTTCTCTCCGAGAGGGCAGCTTGAAACACGGGGACGCGGCCTCAGCGAGCGCCTGGGCGAAGCAAGATGCCTCGCGGAGACAGAGAGAGCGACTGGGTGAGTCCCGGGGCCCATGAGCGCGCGCTATGGCCGCCTGGCGAATGGCCACTGCCAGCCTCTGCCTGGGCGCGGCTCCGAGCCGGGACGGGCCCAGCGCCCGAGCGCAGAGGCGGCGGGGGAGAGTCCCCGCGTCGGCCGAGGGGCTGTTAGAGGAGGGTTGGGGGCTCGCAGCTCGGTTAGGGAGGAGAACGTGGGGGCTGGTCGGGGCGAGGCGGCTCCCGCGCGGGGAGGAGGAGGGGGTGCGTGAGGAGGGGAATCTTGGGGGGGGGCAGTAGAGGAGTTCGGGGCGCTTCACTCCTTTGCCCGGAGGGGGAGGATGGGGCCACGCGGCCTCTTTCCCGATGGCGGGCGGCGGGAGACCGCGGCCATTTCCCCACTGAGCTCGGCGAGGGGGAGGGGAGCCGCCGAAGCGCCATTTCCCCGGCGAGCCGGAGGCCGCACTCACCCTTTGTTGCGGGGCCGCTGTGCGCGGAGCTGGCTACCGGGGGGTCTGCCCTTCTCGCTCGATCTTGGGCCCGGCTGGCGGCGTCTCGGTGCTGGCGCCAAAATTCGGCCACTTATCACTTCCTCCCTGGCGGCCCAAGGCAAAGGGACCAGCCCGCCAACAAAGGAGATCTCGGGGGCGCGCACTCACCGCGCTCCGGGTTTGCCCCACTGGTCCCTGCCTGCACCACAGGTGGGGAAAAGGGGGCCTTTGGCTAATTATATCTCTTTTGCTGCGAGGAGCAGTCTCCGGGCAGCTTCGGCAATTTCCGGAAAAAACCCGAAGCGGGAGCAGAGTCCGAGCCGAGCAGCTTCGGCTCTGCTCGGACACGAGAGGCTCTCCGGCTTTTTTGCCGGAAATTGCCGAAGAGGCCATTTTAGGCGATGATTCCTGTTTCGGCTTTTTCCGGAAACTGTCGAAGTGAATCGAATCACAGTCCGTGGCCGTTCGTTTTTTCCCGGGCAGTGCCGAAGTGGAGTAGGTCCACGACGACGCCTGTTTCGGCTCTTTCCGGAGAGAGCCATTGCTAAAGGAGTTGCTGAATTTTTACTACGCTATTGAAACACAAAGAAGCGTTCCGCAGAACTGTGGGCCGTCTCGGGGGGTGTTTAATTCCACTCGCGATCAAAACAGCCGAATACAGTTATGAGTGGGAAGGGGAGCGAGGGACAGACCACTGCGTGGCGATGCATTTAAAAATACGTAACAGTTAAGGCAGCCATTACTAGAAAGGTTGAGTCCTATTCTCGAACAGGGTTACGTAGACCACGAGGTGTATGGTACGCAAATAGTGCAAATTTGGCTCGTACAGCTGCGAAAGGTGCGTTTTGGTTTGCAGTAGTTAGTATATTTACGTAAGGAAAGACTTATTCGTAAAACTGTACGCTTTTAGCGCAGGTCTAGTAGTTGGAACTTTCCCGTTAGTTGATGCGCATGGTGGCGCAGTGGGCGAGAGTTGGTGGTTTTCCGTAGCAGAGACGTTAGAGGGGAGGAAGGTTCTGGAAGCGCCGGCGGCCGTTGGGCTGGTGCGCAGCACAGGGAGGCGGGGGTACACGCTGCGGCAACAGCGCAAGCGGAGGCGAGTCCTAGAGCCGCCTGACAGACCGTTTAACCGAGCTCCCGTTACGCTAGCGAGCCGCGTGCGCCCTAGGGGTGACCATGGAGGGCAGTAAGCGAGCCGGGTCTCTCTCTGGCCCTGCGAAACGCCGGGATCAGGCCGGGGAGGCACAGATGGTAATGGCGGTAACAAGGGGGAGGGGTAAAATGGCAGCGGGACGGGTGGTGGGGGGGGGGTGAATAGTCCCGGGCCTGGGAGGGGAGGTGGCCGGGCCCTGCGGCAGGGAACCTCCGCCATGAAACGCCTGAGAGGAGTGGCGGGTAGGGAGAGGCGCAGCATCTCTCCGTGGCGGGAGGGGTGGGGGGTGTCTGGGAGCAGGTGGGTTGGCTGAGAAGGGCAGTAGCTAGTTCTGTTCCGGCCCGAGGGAGAGGGGCTGGGGTAGCCGGGGCCCTCTTCCCGAGGGCGGGGGGCTGGTGGAGCGGCCGTAGCCGACCCTTAGCGGCCGGCCAGAGACGATTTCCCCTCCTCCGCGGCATCGCTCTCCCCACAGTGGGCGCGCGCTCCAAAGCAGCAACCATTTTCCTGCTCTGGCCCCTCGCGGCGGCCCCAGTCTCCCGGCACCGCCACATGGCGGGCGCGGCGCGGCCGCCGCTTTGCGCTTGATGCTCTCAGGCCTTTGCGGCGCCAGTCCTGCTGCCGCGTTGGGTGGGGACGCTGAGGAGGACTCGTGGAGTCAATAGGACTAGCTCCTTTTGAGTAGAGGCTGCGCAGTGTTGGGGGACCGGGGAATCTGCCCCCCCCATCATCCCTTAGGGGCCTCATCCCTCGGCGCTCCTTTTTTTTGGCGGGCACGCAGTTCTCGGATGCTGATCTGAAGCTCCCGCTCTTCTATCTCTGGCCGCCATTTTTGTTGATTATGATCTTAACCTGCTCGAGTTTGCAACAGTTTAGAGCCATTCGTTCCCTGCCTCTGTAGGTGGTGTTCTATAAAACACATTCCTTGTGATTGGACGCTGTCCTCTCAAAAAGAGGTTCCACTTTTCCCCACCCTTTGGAGATTCGCTCATGTCGTGGGACATTGTATCTCTTAGAATAGGCAGACTCCTAGTTACTCATCATAATCTTACCCATCGTCCGAGTGCGGGGAAGATGCATTATGGAAAGATCTAAAGACCGGTTATACCCTATTCTTTTATTGTAATTTTGTACAAAAATGAGTTTTCACCAAGATTATAATAGAATGAAGGAAAACCATCAGATGGTTTGTGTCATGTGTATTTTATACCAATTAATTTTAACTCTGGAATTAATTGATGGTATTTCATTTTACCTGAAGGCTTTCTTTTAAGTTGCTATATGAGACACTTGGGCCTTGCTTTTCACTACAAACATTAGATCAGTGTAGCTATGCCGACAGAGCTCCCTAGTGGAAAGTGGTGTTTCTGTCAGCAGAGTAATCTGTGTGCCCTTCCCCCTTCACTCCCTAGAAGTCTCAAAACTCAGAGTCCATGTGCCATCCAAGGCAGAGCATGGCATGGGGTTACGTACTTGAGCAAGTCAGTACTGTACTTTGGGACATGCTATTTTTGATGTACCACATGGTAATTAAAAGTTGAGACTCCAATGGCAAACTTCAGAATATTATTTCTGTAGCTAATCCTTAACTGAAGTGTGTGGTCACAGTATGAAAACTTTAGCACTGAAACTTACTTTATTTTAGGTCACAGCATGCTGCTCCACCCTCTCCCCCACCCCCCTGAAACAGTTCTTTGCCTATAATGTTCTCAAACTTTCTTAGTGCAAACATCAATTTAACAGGGGGACTAGGCTGTTTACTGGGCTACCCCTTTTTCCTTCCTGGTCATGCTGGCTGCCTCTTGTCTCAGTAGCATTTTGCTTGTGTTGTGAAAATATTACACAATTACATATATTTTTAGCTGTCTTGCAAGAAACTAGTTACCAAGTGTTCTGCAGATCACCAGAAGTTTCATATCATAGAGTCTAGGTGGACCAGGTGGGGAGGTACTGTGTTTTATTGGACCAACTTCCATTGTCTTGTCTCTCTAATATCCTAGGACCAAAATGGCTACAACAATGCTGCTTATTATAGTAATAATTATTTACAGGGCTTGAAATACTTTCTGAAGATCATCTGTTGCCAGTATATGTAATTTAAAAATACCTGCTTTGGTCTGCTTGCATGCCAAATGATAGCGATTTGATCTAAGTTTCATTAGCAGTCCATTTCTGCCAAACACTGACTCTGCTTTCCCCCACTCCAGTTAAGAGTTTGAGGTGAGAGTGTGCTTTGTGAAAAATAAAATGTTTATGCAAATATCTCATATCATCATGCAGTGGCCCAAATATTCCCATTGACTAATGGTAGATTCAGGTCCTTTATCTTCCCATTTCTTCTCTTTCCGTTGTTAGCAGCTTGAAGAATATTGTGTTTAAAAAAAAAAATTGGGATTTTTGGGGTCTGTATATGGGTTAGTACTGACTCAGCTTTTGATAAGACTCTCTGGGTAGGTCTACACTTACCGCCGGGTCCGGCGGTAAGCAATCGATCTTCTGGGATCAATTTATTGTGTCTTGTCTAGACGCGATAAATTGATCCCGGAAGTGGTCCACACCGGTACTCCAGCTCGGCAAGAGGAGTACGTGGCATCGACGGGGGAGTCTGCCTGCTGCGTCTGGACCCGCGGTAAGTTCGAACTAAGGTACTTCGAATTCAGCTACGTTATTAACGTAGCTGAATTTGCGTACCTTAGTTCGAAGTGGGGGGTTAGTGTGGACCAGGCCTCTGTGTGCCTGCTGCTTTCTTCAGGCTTTGCAGATTGTTTTGCAGCAGTGCAGTAAAGTAACTAGAATGATAAAATTGAACAGTAAGACTTTTTACATCATTGTTGCAAACCTACCTACTGACTGCAGAGCCTGAGAGAGGCAGCAGGATATGCAGCTATATCAAAAGCAGATTCAGTATTCTTTCTCCAATAATTTCTTTCAGCTATTGGGGCACACTATGTAAGTCTTTAGGCAAGATCAAGAAGCATTTATTGGTCAATGAGAAAATTCAACTGGAAAATAAATTGAAGGGGATACTGCTTTTAAAACTATTTAAAAAAAAAATCTTGTGTAATGCCTGAAGTATTTTTTTCAAATGCTCAATGTTAGTTTTTGATTACCTGTTAGACTACCTTTTTTTTCTCTCAACATGAATAGTGAAACAGATTAGCCAGCTACACTTTTGTTAATAGTCTGGTTCTGGTCAGTATTATTAGGTTCTTGTACCCTAGTCCAATGCTCCAGTGTTGGCGGTATAAAATATGCAGGAATTTTTTTGAAGTTATTTCCATTAAAATAAACCAAAAATTGAAGTGTGTGTGTGTGTGTGTGTGTGTAACCTCAGTTTTTACAAATTCTGTATTAGAGCAAATTTGACCAAGCCAATACTTTAAAAAAAAAAAAAGAAGAGAGAGAGACATGTTTTTGAAGACTTGAAAAGTAACCCATTAAAATTTATCAGTATTCCCAAAATTTATCATTAGTAAGTGTCTCTTCATCCCAAACATGATGATTCTAAAGGAAAAAGGATCTGGCCTTTCAAAATTACTTACCCAAGTGAGTGGGTAAGCAGAATTTTGCGAGGGAATAATTAGGTATCCAATATCGGGGCAAACAAATGCAACAAGGCATTCATTCCATCTTTTTGATGGTGTAAACTGCTCTGGAAACTTTTATTGATCTTGAAATTTCTAATTGTGCTAATAGCTGCTTCCTTTCCAAGGTAGTGATTCTTCTCCAGTTTCATAATAAACTCTTCAGCTGTTAATTGAGTTCTTCATAACTTTGGCTATTATGTATTATGGTAGCATCTTAACACCTCAGTCAGGATCATGGTACCATCATGCTAGACATAGTACACACAGTGAATATTGTCCCTGATTCAATAAACTTCAGCTGTTGGCCATTTTAAGATGAATTGCTTTTATTCCTCCTCTTTATATATTGCTGCTTCAGTATCATAAAATATACTATATACCAGGGATGGCCAAACTTACGTACCCTCCAAGCCACATACTATAATTTTCAGAAGTTCGAGAGCCAGGGGCACCTGCCTGAACCCCACTCCTACTGAAGCCCTGAGCCTCAGCATGTGTTTACTGCAGGGCTGAAGCCCAAGTCTGGTAGGTGGAGGATGGGCGGGGCTCAGCGAGCTGCCCTTAGTGCAAAAGAGCCTGCATGCACCTTGCAACCCTTGGTTTGGCCACCCCTGGTACATACCTTAGTTTTCTGATGGCCTTAATCAACTGACTAGCAAAAGATAAATTTGCCTTTCTAAAGGCTAGATCTTTATTTTACCTGCTTTTCAATAGTTTAGGTTTTTTTTAAAGTATATTGTATGACCGCTTACTGCTGCTTAGAACTGCAAAACATAAAATCTGTTTGCCTTCACATAATTTCCCTAGAAAACAGCCCCCATATCTTACTCGAAAATAGCCACACTTCAGATAAAATGAGGAAAGAAATGGTAAGCTGCTTCCCAGTTGGGGCCTGATCCTACTCATATTGAAGTCAATGGCAAAACTCCCATAGCTCCTTAATGTGCACCTCATGAGAGCTTTAATTCTCCACATGTGAATGAATTGATGAAATATTTATTTAATAGCTTAAGGTTTTTGGTGTATGAGCCTATACGTTTTTATTTTATTAAAGAAGCACCCCCACTCCCCTTTTTTGTGTGCCTCATATAGAAGCTTGTTTCTCCTTTTCTGGTTTGTATTGGTGAACATCAATTTGAGCACAAACACTTTATTTTATATTTAAAAATAAAATAGCCTGCGTTTTGGAATGAACAACATAAATTGGTATCTTCTGATCTAGCAGAGTAACTCCTCATTTAAAGTCATCCAGGTTACGTTGCTGATCAATTAGGGAACATGCTCCTTTAAAGTTGTGCAGTGCTCCCTTCTAATGTCCTTTGGCAGCTGCCTGCTTTGTCCACTGCTTGGGGGAAGAGCAGCCTGTTGCAACTAGCTAGTGGGGGCTTGGAACCAAGGTGGACCGGCAGTCCCCTATCAGCTCCCCTAAGTTCCATGTGCAGCAGCTGCCCAGCAGGCTATCAATTGTTGCCAGTTCAGTTGTCCCTCCCCCCATTGCCATGTGCTGCTCCTGTCCTCCGCCTTGGAGCTTCTCCCCAAGACTCCTGCTTGCTGTGCATGAGGGAGGGGAGGAAGAGAGGGACTAATGTCAGTGTGTCCCCCTGCTCCTACACCCCGCTTACCCCATCTTCATAGAGCAGGGAGGACACACAACAGGGCTCAGGAGGGAGAGAGCTTGCTGGCAGCAGCTGTGGTCTCAGCAAGCTGATCTAATTCACAAGGCAGTGTACTTAAGAGTAGGGTCAGCGTACTTAAAGGACGGACACACAGCCCCCCACCGTGTGTGTGTGAATCTGTCTGTGATGCTGTCTCCCCTCCCTCCATTCCTGCTGCCTTGTAGAGTGTGAGAGTAAACCCTTGAGGGCTCAGCCAATTGCTAGTTCATCATTTAGCAGTAAGGCATTCCCTGGGAAATATCCCACCCCTGACTCCTCCACCTCAACCAAGCTTCACAATCATCATCACCGTGTACCAGTATTAAATTGTTTGTTTAAAACTTTTGTGTGTGTGTGTGTGTCTCTCTCTCTCATATATAGATATAGATATAAATAAAAATATGTATTTTTTGTCTGGTGGAAAAAACATTCCCTGGACCCTAACCCCCTCATTTACATTAATTCTTATGGGGAAATTGGATTTGCTTAACATTGTTTCGCTTAAAGTTGCGTTTTTCAGGAACATAACTGTTAAGTGAGGAGTTACTGTAAAGAGAGCACAGCTCATCAATTATAATCTATGGTTTTTTAAAGAAGATGCTATTGCAGGAAGGAAAACTTGATGGTGTTTCAGAGGGCACTTCTCCAGTTCTAAGTACTTAAAACCTAATTTTCATTTTAAATATATTTCTGAGGCGAAGGAAGGTAATTTAAAAAAACCTGTGAAATTGTCAAGCGCTACCTTTATAATATATGGGTCTGTACTGAATGGCAATAATACAACTTCAAATAATCATAATCATTTTGGTGAAAATGAATATTCATTGACATTTGTGAACATGTCTAATGTCAGACTGTCTTCTCAGACAGTACTATGGGAGAATTGCAAATGACATTAATACTATATTCTCTAAATTAGAGAGAAAAGGAGCAGTTTCGCAAACTGTTCATTGGTGGCTTGAGCTTTGAAACAACAGAAGAAAGTTTGAGAAACTACTATGAGCAATGGGGGAAACTTACAGACTGTGTGGTAAGTTGCATGTGCTAATATATGCTGATAATGTGGACTTTACAGCTTTGTAAAAATTGCTTGCCATTTTCTGAAGTATAAGAAGGCAAATGGAAGCATCTAGTTGATTCCTGTATGTGAAATCTTTAAAAAGCTTTATGTATAAATTGCAGTTGAAGTCAACAATTTCATGAACAATATGGATGATGGAGGGTAAAGCCAATTTTTTCACTTCTGTAATGCAGAATTATACCATGCAAATACTTAATTTAATCAGTATGGGTAATTGGGTTCAAACACCTGCTTTTGCGTAGAAAGCAAAGAAAATCTAAATTAAAGATATGAAGACTTATGCTCACGGCCCATTACTTTTGGTTTTTATTTTGTTTTAAATTTCCCAGAAATCTGGTGATGTTCATTACAAAAATAAGCTTTGTGCACCAATTTTTACCCCCTAACTTCAGGTTTTTGGGTTAACTTTGCAGGATAGGAGAACAAGAGGGAAAAAAAAGGAACAAATAGAGACACATACGAGTATTTAAAGTAAATGCAGGTTTAGTTTCCATTTGGAGCAGGTTGCCGGAGCAGGAAGGTTCTGGCTTTTTTTTTTTTTTTTAGGACTTGAAAAAACGCACGTGCACACGCGCGCATGCATGTGTTAATCTTCCACTACGTTGCCTTACTTTAACAGACAGCTTCACATTTATACGTAGGCCTGGTCTACATCTAAAAATTAGATGACTTAACTACATCGCTTAGGGTATGTGAAATTTTGCGCCCTGTGAAACATTGACCTAACCTCCACTGTAGATGAAGATAGGTCAATGGAAGAATTCTTTCATCAGCCTAGCTACCCCTTTTCGGAGAGGTGTATTAACAACATAGATGGAAAAACCCTTTGGTTGATGTAGGAAGTATCTGCACTAAGGCACTGCTATAGTGGCATAGCTATAGCACCATAGCTGTGCCCCTGTAGAGTAGACCTACCCTTAGACTAACTTATTAGTAACACAATTCCCTAATGTAATGTATTGCATTTTCTTAACCTAATCAGTATTTTCATGTACTTGAGTGGTCCAAAATTTAGGTGAAAATCGATTAAAAAACAAATAGAAAATTAAGGACCTTACTTATACTTGGCTGTAGCGGTAGTATGAAAACTTAATAGTGGAATAATAAAACTTCCTGACTTGTTTGCAGGTGATGAGGGATCCTGCAAGCAAACGATCGAGAGGATTTGGTTTTGTAACATTCTCCTCCATGGCCGAAGTTGATGCAGCCATGGCTGCAAGACCTCACTCAATTGATGGAAGGGTAGTTGAGCCAAAACGAGCAGTAGCCAGAGAGGTGAGCAAAGTACTGAAAAACAAAGAGGCTTTTTACGTTATGAAAGATTGTCTCTGATTTGGTGAGAAACTAGCTTATTCTTACCGATAGACATTTCAGTGCTTACTTTTTCTTATAACGAAGAGGCTCTGGTTATGGGCACATGCCTTTTTCCTTTTCCTTTCTTCATCTTACCATTTGTAGACGCTTTACAGCAGTACACATGCAGAGGTTGGCTTCTGCCAGTTTGAATTTAGGACTTGATTGACAGAAACCATTTCCGCTTTTTAGGTTGAGTGACTACTCCATGGGTGGGGCCGTAAATATCAAAAGTCCCTACCGTTTAATCCCTACTGTTTTAGGTTGGATATCCTAGTCAAAGAAGCAGCATTTGGGGAGCTGTTCTTTTTGGGACTAGAGATCAAGGATGAGATTCTGGCACCACTGAAGACAATGGGAGTTTTTTGCTAGTGACTTCAGTGGGGCCAGGATTTCACCTAAAGTTATCTGGCATTTAAAAGATAGGCAGACAAATTAAATGAAGTTGTCTGGAATTTGAATACAGTTGGTTAAAATGAAAAGGACCCAGTCAGTTTATAGATCACATTTCTGCCTGAAAATTTGTTACTTACTATTCTTGCAAGTAAATGTGAGATTTCTCCTAATATTTCAGTTTTATCTATCTATCTATCTATCTATCTATCTATCTATCTATCTATCTATCTATAACTTTGTACTTTTGATTACACTTCATGTATAATCATTTTCATTCTTTCTGCAGCATAGCCTGTTCCCCTCTTGCTTGTTTAGAGCTTTTCACATAGCAACCAGAGGTAGTTGCTTTAAAAAATAGCAAAATGATTGTAAAATTAAAAAAAGGCACAGGCATTCCAGATATGGTTTACTTGAAAACACTGTAAATTCTTAAAATTGATTAGATTTCAAGTTAACTGTCTTTAAGATCATGATAGAGTCCATATGCAAAACTCTCTCTTCTACTACCTTAGTAGTTTTGAAAAAAATATTTAATTCTTTCAAGGAATCTGGAAAACCTGGTGCTCATGTTACTGTGAAAAAGCTGTTTGTTGGTGGAATTAAGGAAGATACTGAGGAACACCACCTTCGAGACTACTTTGAGGAATATGGGAAAATTGACACTATTGAAATAATTACAGATAGACAATCTGGTAAAAAGAGAGGTTTTGGCTTTGTTACGTTTGATGACCATGATCCTGTGGATAAAATTGTATGTAAGTAAACTTCATTCCACAATTTCATCTTACAATATTGCTACTTAAGGACCTGATATAGATAACACTTAAGCATGTGAGTAAGTTTTTAAATTTAATTGGATTACTTACATGCATAAATGTTTGTAGGAGCATGCAATAATACTACCTGAAATTATCCTGTCATCTTTATAATTTAGACTTCTGGATGATTGGAATTGGTATTGCAAAAATGTGAGGAGGAAAAATGATTTTCTTTGGCAATTTAGCCATTCCTGAGTTAAACTGTAGAAGCATCTTTTACTGCATGTAATTTCTTAAATTTTTATGATTTACAGTGCAGAAATACCACACCATCAATGGCCATAATGCAGAAGTAAGAAAAGCTTTATCTAGACAAGAAATGCAAGAAGTTCAAAGTTCTAGGAGTGGAAGAGGAGGTATTTGAGTTTCACTTTATGCTCTTGGGTTTAGTTTTCCTATAATACATACTTAACAGGAATCTAAAATCATCCTAGGTAACTTCGGCTTTGGGGATTCGCGTGGAGGTGGTGGCAACTTTGGTCCAGGACCAGGAAGCAACTTCAGAGGTGGATCTGGTAAGGCTATCAGGTTTATCATGTGTTTTTTGGATTTCAGTTTGCTCTGTAGGTTACTACCATCTACTGCAGTATTGGCAACAAAATCTTCTTTTAGAAAAGACTAATAACAAACCTCTTAATATGACAATACTAACCTTTCTGATTAGAAATAACAAAATTGAAATGAATCTATATAAATGTATGAAGTCAGTGTTTTTGAGATGCTAGTTCACATAATCTAAAGAAGCACTGTGACCTGGTCCATTTTAGAGACTGTATACAAAGTAATAGAACAGATTGCTAGAGTAAATTATTACAATTTTAGAGTGGGCTTTTAAGTATAAATAATTGTCAAGGTAGCAGCTTCCTGGTTGCCAATCTTCAGTTCAAGTCCAGAAATGCAACTCTTCTTTAAGAGAAGATGATTATTTAAGGTGATGGTTGTATGCCTTGTTTCTGACAGATGTGTATTTCTTGGTTTAGGGTGCATATGTCTGAAGTTTTAAATTCAAATTATCCAAGTCCATTATACTTCTCATATATACCCCCTAGAAATGGCTGTGGGTCTTTTTTTCAGGTTGGGGGGAGGGGGGGCGCTGAAAATAAATACGAGAAATACCAGTCCCCAAAGTGATTTTATTTATCCTTAGAGAAGGTTAGTCACAGTTTGAAAACTACTGTAACATTTTGAAATTTGTATATCAGATGAATACAGCAGTTTATAATGGTTGAAATTTCATGATCTGTGTTTAGGGTATTATGTTTCTCCTGCAAGAGTTGATCTCAAATATGGTATTTGTGACACCAGTTTTTGAAAGGGTCATACACACAGCATCTGCTTGTATTTTGTAGGTTTAAAAATAAACTGGTTTTTGTGGGTTTTTTTTTAAATAACTATAATTTGTCATCTCAATTTTAAAAATTTAAAGCATCTTTATGTATTTTAAAAATTCCAGCTCACTATTAAGAGTAAACTTTTTTTCTAGTTCCGTGCAGATGAACTAAAACAAATACTTATTTCCAACAGATGGATATGGAAGTGGTCGTGGATTTGGTGATGGATACAATGGATATGGTGGAGGACCAGGAGGTTAGTGTAGACTAGTGGGTTTTTGTAACTTCTCATACTTTGAAAAGGTTCTGTATTTTCTGTTACTAATCATCTTAAGCAGTAGAGCCATATTGATCTGGTTCAAGAACAATAAATAACTGCTGACTAGTTTTAATCCTTGGTCTTTAACTGTGTGGTTTGCCATATGTCCCTCGTCTCCTGCCCCTGAAAACCTGATTTCTATCTGCAGTTTTTCTCATTTTCTTTTTCAGCCCTATTTTTGGCTATCTCACTCCAGTGCTAGATTATGCTACACCTAAAGACCTGCACTTGCTGATAAATGTGTGCAAGCATAACCAGTCTGGTTGTTTTCCCTAAGGCCTTCTTGCATTCAAATCCATGTTTCTCATTTGGAAGTATATAATACTTTTGCCACACTACTCAAAGTAATTAGTTCATCCTGATGGCTCATGCTTATGTACAATTTCCTCCCCCATGCCTGAACCACACACTCAAAGCCTTCACCCTAGTAAAAAATCATGTCTTGCACTGAGTTTTTCCTTTCTATACTAACGTTTTGTGTTCCGTTATGCAGAAAGTCTGTCAAAAGAACTGGTAAAGAAAGTAACTTTTTAGAGACTCGAAAATGTAGTATTAACTGCAGCTCACTGTTGCTCAGCAGTGCTTTCCTAAACTAATCAGCTTTCTGAAAAATTCAGGATTTATGTAAAGAAAAACCTGTCTCTTTAGATCTAAATATCATGCATTGGTATCATTTTTGTTTTAATCCTTAGGCAAAAACTGCAGTCAGACTAAACAGTTACGGGGGAGTATATAGCTTTAAAAAATTCTATTTGTAGAAATCGCCCTTCAAAGCTTCCTGTTGGCCTTTTTTGTCCTTCAGTAGACTGATGCTGAAGAAAACTAAAATCTTAGTCTTAGCAGAACACTGTGTGATCTGAGGAATAGTACAACTGACATTTATAATGTAAAGTTACTATTTAAAGGCTTATTTCATAATAGGTGGCAATTTTGGAGGTAGTCCTGGTTATGGAGGAGGAAGAGGAGGATATGGTGGTGGAGGACCTGGATATGGCAACCAGGGTGGGGGCTACGGAGGTGGTTATGACAACTATGGAGGAGGTAATACATTTGCTTAAAACATTTAACTGAAAGTTTAGTTTTGGACTAGCCTGAGCAAGATTATTGACTTGAGAATATTTTACTTCATAATTGTTGTCAAAACCAGTATGCCATTTTCTATGGTCAGTGAGGAAAAATAATTGACTTTAGTGAAAGACATTCCTCTTCTTATTACTTTTTTTTGTTTTTGTTTTTTTAGTCTTGATTTGTTAGGTTTGTAATAACAGAGAAATAATTCTTACATTTAGCTCTTTTTGTGTCAATAATATAGGCAATTATGGAAGTGGAAACTACAATGATTTTGGAAACTATAACCAACAGCCCTCAAACTATGGTCCAATGAAGAGTGGAAATTTTGGTGGTAGCAGGAACATGGGGGGACCATATGGTGGAGGTATTGTATATGTCATGGGTTGAATTGGGACCAAACTTTTCAGTGGCCTTTGATCCTTTGTAGAGACCAGGGGACACGAACCAGTTAACCTGTGTAGAGAATTGCTGCATAGTCTTTTGTAAATCCCACTTGCCAGCAGAATTTTAGAGCTAGTAAACAATAGTGCAAAGAGTGGTAGTGGTTATCTGTGAGTGCGCCCAAAAGAAAAATAAATTATCAGCATTAAAACAGTATGATGATTTCAAACAGCAAGATCACTATTTGGTGTGAAGACCAGTTTTCTCAAAGCAGGAACAGTTAGGGTTTTTTTTTGTGTTGTTTTTTAAATATGTATATATGTTTACTAATAGTTTTTGTTTACCAGATTGTACTTGGGTCAGGTATGAACTCTCAGTGGTCTGGTCAATATAGAGTTAGTTTTGGGATACTAACTTCATGCCCATTAAGTCTGTTTGTTTGTAAAATGTGATATATGATGTAATATCACTTCTTCCATGCCCCTTCCAAATTTTAGTGTTGGTAAATGTCATAGGGATATCAGTCAGACAATAATTAGTTTTGGCAATGGTTTTTTTTCCCCCCCAAATAAGCCTCCTCCTTACATCCCTTAGCATTAGTCAGAGCAATGTGAACAAATTATTTACTATAGTAGTAATTACCACCGACTCACTACTCTCCGCTAAACTTTTTGTTCTTTCTCTCTCCCATATTAGGCTCATTATAATATTTCTGCCTTTTCTTTTTGGTCAGCAGCTTCTAAGCATCAGAGGGGTAGCCGTGTTAGTCTGAATCTGTAAAAAGCAACAGAGGGTCCTGTGGCACCTTTGAGACTAACAGAAGTACTGGGAGCATAAGCTTTCGTGGGTAAGAACCTCACTTCTTCAGATGCAAGACTTCTTGCATCTGAAGAAGTGAGG